GGGAAATCAAATAGCTGGTGGAGGTTATTCAAAAGGGCAAATGATTCTGCTTCACGTCCAAGGGGTAATGTCCCTGAAGAGTGTAACAGCCAACCCCTGTTATGGACATTAAAATCACCTAAAATTGTGAACTGAGCGTTGGGGACTGTTTTAACAATGCTGTCTATGTTAGCCGACAAAACATCAAAGAGTGAGGGGTCACTACTATTTGGGGGAACGGTAGATAGTGCAGAAGTAGTGATTGAAAGAAGGGAACCGAAGTTTCAGCCATAGGGTTTGGAACTCGCGGTTGGTGAGATTTAAGTGGAAGAACGGAGTAGAAACAATTGAATGATGGATGAAAGCACAAACACCAGCTTTGGGAATGAACGAAGTGTGAAAGGAATAATTGGGAAACTGAAGATGTGTGGTGTCTGTAGAAGGGGAAAGTTGAGTTTAAGATAAAAATAGGGCAAGAGGGGAAGTGGACTGAAGGAACTGATGAACAGAATCAATGTTGTGGTTCAAGCCGCGAATGTTTGTGAGTGCAATGGTCGATTGAGAGTGCGCTTGTGAAGTGTTTCTGATCGTTGTACTATTCGTGTTGATATGAGAGAGTAACCGGCAACCTAGCCCTGGAAATTGGAGTGGCGAGCCACATAAGGCTCCGATGGCTAGGCGGTGGTACTGAGCCGGACGACGGCAGAACCGTCTACCACTTAGAACTGATCGCACAGTGGTACAGTAAACAAGACCTTTTCAAGTTTCAAGGAAACATCAATTCGATACTCAATGCATTTTAGTCCTGCGTACGCTGCTCGCGCCTTGGAACAGTGAACAGTTTTCTCTTTTGACATGGTACCGTCACTTTTCACGCAAATACGCAAGTAAGAGAAGCAATCCATTACCACTGACTCCTGACCGTCGCGCATTAGAGCCGGGGTAAACGACACCGTGTTATAGCACCATTTGGCGCTTTGAAATTGCAAAGCGCATATCGAATAGAGTTACAGAACTTGTTAGTCTGTCGAACGTGCTTTGTGCATTCTCGATACATACGAACAGACAAACCACGTCGTCCGATGCCCATTCAGTGAGAATATTTTAGATGACCTAGGGCGTTCTCCAGTATTCTGTCTATGAAGCAGAACAGGAATGGAGAAATACAGCACCCTTGACGAACGCCTCCGCTGGCTTCGAACGATTTGCTTACGCTACGGTAAGTGCGCGAGTACAGTGACCTCAATGGGTTTCTGGGACACTCCTCTACAAAGAAGCGAATCCATCAGGGTTACTCGGTCAACTACATCGAAGGCTCTTTTGAGATCAAGGAACACTGCGATTTATGGTCGATGTGTGACGAAACCCCAAGAATTGACGTAGGGTGAAGATATAACCAATACAACCGCAACTTGGTCGGAATCCTGCCTGTTGTTCGCGACTGGTTATCCCCTATATGTCCAGCGGCGAAACATCAAAGCTCACGCTGTGGTGCTTGGAAATAAACTTAGCTCAAGGCGGTACGCAATCGTCGAATAATTCTTTGCTGAAAATCGGAACGATCAACGACTCACATATGATAAAGGAATACCCCCTTCCGACTAAATGTTGAATAGAAAACCATTAATAGAATAAACGAGTCACCCCAGCTTAAGAAGAATCAGGAAAAGCCCATCCGGCACGGATGACTTTCTTGTCTTTAGTGATTGAAAAAATCTCGTAATTCTAGTTGTACGAGGCTCACATGTTACCGCCCATACAGTTCCAGCTGCAATCGCCAAAATAGTGACACTAGCTTCAGGCCAGTTGAACTGATCACTCGAATAATCTGCGCAGTTATCAAGCCGCTGATCCTCATTATGGATACTCTGCCCCGTTTTATCGCAAATGGTTTCGCTGATTGGTATGCAATGATCTAACATGCTGCGTATTAGATGAAACAGCACTGGAATATTCCCTGGTGCAGAGGCTACCCCCCTTTCCTCAGCTATTTAGGCCCACCAGTCTTCTCCATCTTTCTCAGGGTTTTGTCTGAGCTGACTTTGCAGACGCCACTGGTTCTTGAAGATTGGGATCACATTACCGAAAACCCTTAAATGAGTTTGCGGGATGATTTTTCTTATTTTTTAAACCGCTCGGATTATATTCAATCCGGAGGACTACACTGGAAATCAAAATGTTTCAGTTACATCTGACTTTGGCAGAGATATCCCTGACGGGCGGATACGGGGTTATCGTTTATTCTCCGCACTGGAGGCACTATCTATGGTTTGCCGTTCAGAGACTGAAAACATAGTAATGACGAATACTCTTTAAATAAATACTTTAAATATTATATATATATATATATAATACTTTAAATAAATACTCTTAAAATAAAATCCCCCCAACCGCTTCGCGTGAAGAATTGTATGGTCAGTAGGTGCAGACTTGCAGCTCATTCGTGGTGAGGCTCTGCTGATATACCGTGCATCAGGGAGCCAATCACTGGACACTTTCAACGGCAGTGACAGATTGGTCGTATATCATGCAGTGTTAGCAGCTTATTCGTGAGAACCAGTTCAGATAGCCTAGGTGTTTAACTTGTCAGGTTACTACCTGCTTGTGTCAAGGTTCGCACCCTAGCCGATCCTGTGGATACACAGTGCAGATGGTTCTTAACAAGGATGAAACTGCTGCAAAGTCCATTTAAAGGTATTCAGCGATGAGTGATACGTTGACTCTGCCTGACGAATCAATTTTCATTTGTTTAACATACGGCTGAGGTAATTAATTAAACTAATTAAATATTCATTGCAATGCGTTCGATAAAAGAAAAACAAATACTGATGTGTTTGAAGTTATCGCGGTACGAGATTAACGATTGCATAAACCGCCGACATTCAGTATTTAGTCATGTCGGGGTTTCCCGTCTCGTAAATTTCTTATTTCCACTGTTCCCAATAAACCACTTCTCGTCCATTGCTGCATGCTTCCGTTGAGTAACTCTAATCTCCACCCAACCTCCCCCTCCCTTGTGTAAATAACTGGTAAACCCTATAACTGTATTTTTTCCATCGAGTTGAACCATTCGGTCACTGAGTCCTGGTCGTTTCGCCTAACTGCAACCGAATCTAATCTGACGAGAAGTCTGCAAACAGGTTAGACGGAGTTGGAAAAGCGAAAATGTCTACCAAGTTTATTGTTTCCTGAATAAGTGGAGTTTGGAAGCTAAATCTAGCCGAATTCTTCGTTGCTATATCTATTTGAAGCCAAAAGTATATATTGGACAGGTATATCAAAGACAGAGCTGAGAACCCAAAAGGTGTCAAGGCCGTGAAACAAAAACACGAGGGACCAACCGTACTTACACTTGTCCTGCGGGAGTCATGGTTGCATTAGTCATTAGTTCAACTTCGTCGCCTATATCCTCTCCGTCCTCGTCATAATCATCATCGACCTCTGTGTCCGTGTCCCCGACTTGATAAGGCGACCGATGCCGCCGTTTTCGTCCTGCCTGAGCGGTGGTAGCAGAAGAACCGGAAGGCGCCTGGCCCGGCCGAGGACGCTGCCAGCCTGGTGTGCTTCCATCGGCTGCCGGAGTACGACTGGCCACAGAAGCCGGAGTCATGGGAGTGGGTGGACCGCTCATGATCATCGGAGTGCCACCGCTTATCTGATCACGATGCGTCTGATCTCCTAATGGTGTGACACCACCCATACCGGGGCGATGTAACTGATAGTGCTGATTGGATCGGACTGATGATGGCGTGAAACCAGGTGTAGCAGGGACCAAGTCATCATCATCATCGTCGTCATCATCATCATNTGACGGTTGCACTGACTGTGGAAGCACAGAGCGGACTTGGACTGAGGCGACTGGAGTTTGCTGATTTGAACTGGGAGTCTCGCAGAACTTCTCGTCGTCACTGTCGTGTCCACCATCCACTTGAGTCTTCGGTTGAAAAACAAAAGATATGGTAACCATGAAGCGATGCCGAGTGTTGTAATACATTCATGTCAACCGTTTTTTGCATTCTCCAGTAGGATTTTACTCCTTTTATGTTTGATTCGTAAATGCTTAGTGATCACGGGATCAACAACCATGAAGAGGAGAGAAGCAAAGGTAATTTTAAAATCTAGCGAGGGGTTCATTTTTAAGTCAGCAGAGCGAATGCTATATTGGGACGCCAATCCCAATTTTACTGATGCTTCCGGTACTTTCATGGTTGTACAAATGATTTTTCGGTAGAGAAGGTCTTGTGTTTGAAATGTGACAAGTTTGGTGGTCTAGAACGGATTCCCACGCTTTTGTACTGCGTACACGGCGATATGAGGCCACGCCAAAAGCACTAATCTTTTCGCCTTTGGTCAACCTTTCAGAAACAAGTTGACATTCTCTGAGCCAATGAACATAAACGAAACATCGAACTGTATATCTCATAATACATAATTATATCTCACACATGCTCTACATGACTATTCACCCCAGAAATCGTACAAAGATGTGTTGGACAAGCTACACAATAAACTAAGACTTTAACCGATCTCTCGTGATTGAAGGATGACAGGTTATTAAGATAACAGAAGTTTTTCATCAATGTTGACGAATGATCAGGCCTATCTGGTTTTCATAAATTCTGTGGTTCTATATCCAAAACCAGATTGAGCACTGAACGGACTAAAGTACAGTGATCATTATAACAAGGAAATCGGTGCACAATTTGCTCGTGGGCGGAATAATGTTTGCGTTCAATCTCTTGTTTATCGGTTGGCCAGATAGGACAACGAAAGTTACGTTGGGTTTCAGCTTACAGAAAAT